GGCCAATAATCTCGGTCTGTTGTTCTACGGCGGCGTCAGTGCCCCTTGCTCTTCCTACCCTTCTTTGCACTCTAACTGCAATTGCCCGAAAAGAAAGTCCAGCTTCCCGAAGTCCCACTATACGGCCCCTATCAAACTCACTAAGTTGACGAAATCGTACAGGTCTCCGTACTCTAGGCATCGTAACCGATCGTAAAGGATGTCAAGAACCAAAATCCGCCAACGTTGATTCTTTACTGCGGCTGAAATATTCATTTTTAGAGCGTTAGTGAATTAAAAAAAAGCAGTATAAAAACCGGAATGTCCAACTGATAAGGCTGAAAATTTTTTCACTTGTTATTTACAGTAAGATAAATACATTCACCAACTTTATTAAAATAAAACCATTTAAACTGGGTGTTCGGATTTATATGTCACTTAGTATATTATAGTGTTAATAAAGAAAGCAAACTCATCCAGCTAATGTAATAAACAGACGCTTATATGAATGTGGCACTACCTTTCTAGAAACTGCCTGCGTTGCATTTCTTTACCAGTGAAAGTTACTAATTTGAGGTAGACGGAGATCGTACCCTAGCTCTCAGCCGGTCATCTCACTCAACTGAGAGTATGTTGGTAACATTGAAAAAAGCACCGTTACCAAGATGTTCCACCCGAATTGAACGTAAGGTATTCGTACAGCAATGTGAATACCTAATACAAAAGCTCTTGCTGTACTACATGATTCGCCGGTCCACACTAGCTTTAACTCGACCTTAGCAAGGCAGTAAAACTGGGCATAAAACAGTGCGTCTCAGCTTTGGCGCAAAATTTTACGTTTGAAGAATGAAAACACTTATTCGGGTATCCGGAGGCAGAATTCGGATTTGAAATCTAGATTAAAAAAAACTAAAAAAGGTAAACATCTATTTCGATAATTATTATAAAGAAGAATAGTGCGGATTTTGTTTCTTGAAAATCATGTCATCTAAATGTTGACCATTACGTCGGACAAATCTCGCCTCAGTATTTCGTGCTACTCGCTGCAGACGTGATTGTGAAATAGCATTAACCTAGCGAACGATATTTTAGTCGACTGTCTACATCCAGAATCGGAAATGGTAGGACCTCTGAAGAAGCTTGCCACTCGTGCTAGCGAAACCTTAGGAAGAAATTCCCCGAATCAAGACAGCAGTTTATCAACTGGCCGCGAAAGCCATAACCAATTTGTCGAACGATATTTTCTTTAAGAGCTTAGATGCGGGTTGTTTGCTGCTGATCCTGTTGCTCGGAATCTCCGCACCCACGCATCATGCTTTTGTCGAATATTGTACGGTGAACAAAATTGTCCACGAACAATTGCTCACGATTCATTCACCTTTAAATATGCTTCGATTGCGAACTAGCGTTGTACTCCCGTCCAATGCGACATCGTGACTGAAAACCCGTATGACTGACAAAGCTGGCGCATCTCCTTCCCTTCTCCTCTGCCTAACGGTTACGAAAACATTGGATTTTGAAATCCGAATTCTGCTACCGGACACCCATAGGTACTATTTGTAGGTGACATATTGGGCATGTGCCGCTGAAATATTTTTTAAGGAAAGGCGCTTTTCTTTTTTTGTCTTTGACTATAGAAATTGAGGTGGGCTAACTTACGTCATAGGCATACCACCATCATATTCATGCACCCAGGCTAACCAGAAGCTGACAACTATGGAAAGTATGTAGATCAGAAGCCAGTTCAGCATGCCGTAGATTGGCGACTTCCATAGCGGTATCAACACTACCGGTGAGCAATAGAACATCAACATGTCGTCTGTCAGGTACCAAGTCTGTATGACGCACTGAAATAATAAAAATAATAATGATATGGCACAGGTCCGTAAGATTGATCACCAGAAAACGAAAATGGTCCTAAATCTATTCAAAGCCATAAACACCTATGCCTGTACTACCTTGACATACTCTTTTGGAACAGTCCAGTGGAGTAAAACCAATGTCGAAAACATAGAAAGAAAGGAAAGAACCCTGCTCACAAAGGCAAACAGCCTTCACCCTCGCAGCGCAGTAGAACGCTTGTCTGTCTCGTCATCTAGGAGGAAGAGGGTTGATGGACATTGAAAAACAGCTGAGACAACATATAAAGGAAGTTCCTATTTCATGGAAAAAGCTGAACACTCTGAGTTGCATCGTTTCATATGTGCTATGGACAATACAACACCCTTGAGTCTTAGCGATATGGAATCTCAATTATCACCAGGAAAAAATGCAACGTTGGATAGAAAAGCCTTTATTTACATGGAAGGCATGTTCATGAGGTGAGCCAAGAGACTGCTGACATAAGGGCGTCAAACAACTAGCTTGTTTCGAGAGAGTGAAGGCTTTCTTGTGGCTATACTGGATCAGCTAATCTCAACGGATAAAATTCCTCAACACAACAATAGGTGCAGATTCGGATGCTCAGACTCTGAAACTATACACGTGAGTGGAGGGTGTCAGGCGTTCGCCACGACGGAGATCAAAGAAAGACATGACATAGCGGCCAAAATCCTACACGAAGACCTAGTTCACAATTTCAAGCTGATAAATAGAATGGCATCCTATTATAAATACACACCGCAAAGCATTTTAGAAAACAACGAATGCAAGCTATATTGGGACCGCACTGTCCTCACCGACCAGCACACCAGACACAGACCAGATATAATTGTTGTCAATAAGAAACTGAGTAAAACAACTCTCATCTTACATACAAAGCATAATGAAAAAATGGCGAAGTATAGGGAGCTCGAACTTCAAATCAAACAACAATGGAAGATGGACAGTGTTGATACTATCCAATCATTCCATCATAAGCCGGAGTAATCCCAAGAACGGTGCTGGAGAATATCAAGAAGACGGATGTCAATGGCAATATTTACAAGACGATGCAGAGTTTTACTGGCAACTGCTCGTACACTTCGGAAGTTCATCGGAAATTCGAAATGTAACGTCTTTACGTAACCAGCTGAGATTAAACTCGTACCCTTTGATGTCGTACGCATCTGGGATGAGTGAATGTTGCCCCAATGAGGATAAAAATCCCTCGTAAATATCGTTTCGTTCATGATCAATATGAATCCTGGGATCCCCACTGTGACCCCTCCAAACGTATTATTCCACGCTGTGCTTTGATGCTATCTTCTTTTCCGGTAATAGGTAGGTTGAATTACTGAGATTGGAAATATATAATATACTAACGTCAAAAAATTGAGGCATACCATCCCCACCAACCCCTAACTCCCAATTTGAAATGTTCAGGAGTGAAAAAGCGAAGCATGAGCAATTTTTATTTATTTCTTCTTCAGTCACTTTGCTCAGCCTCAAGAGGACCGGTTTTAAAAAACTATTAAGCTTTTTTACCATTCTAGTGGCATACTAGAAATCTTGTGTATAAACGACAGGCCAAGGATTAGCGCCCAGACCGACCGACACATAGATTGACCGAAAGACAGATCAACGGAAATGGGTGTCATGGTTTTTTCATGACGTATAGTTTCTGGCTATCAGTTTACCCCCTCTATCTTTCTTATATGGCTTTTTAGAACAATAAGTTGTATAAGAATGCTATAGGGTCTAAGTTTTCCATGTAATATTTTTTTGTCTCAGAAATGTGCCATCGAACAATGTTGTATTTTTTTCAGGTTCAAAATATATATGATCTATCATACTTACGAGGGATATCTAAGTTTTGCCTATGCAAAGAAAAAACAACACGGTATGTAGTTTTAAATGACTTTATTGTTTTTCGAAGTATTCTCTACAAAGACTAATATACATCTGCATGCGCTCGAACCATTTTCGAAGCACTTATTCCACTCGTTTGTTGGCAGATCCAAAACGGCATTTTTGAATGCGTCAACTGCTTCTTCTGGTGACTGGAACCTTTGACCACGCAGTCTGTTTTTAATTTTCGGGAAAGTAAAGAAATCGTTAGGACTTAAATCGAGACTATATGTAGGATGGACCAATAATTCCAGGTATTCTTCCGTTAAATACTGCCTTGTTTTTTGGGCTGTGTGCGAGCTTTCATTGTCTTGGTGGAGGAGGATTCTTCTTTCGGGGTTGATCTTTCGAAGCTCGGTGATGACTTTTCTCCAACAAAAAATGGTGGTATACCAATCCGCAGTAATGGTTCTTTGCTCATTAAGAGGAATTGTTGCAATATGACCCGCTTTTGACACAAATGTCGCGACCATCTTTTTCGAAACACTTCGAGAACGGATGACTTTTGTTGGCTTTTCGTCACCTTGGAACACCCAAACAGACGACTGTCGATGATTTTCTGGTTCATAACAATAAATCGACGATTTATCACCATCAACAATGCTGTACACCTTTTTTGAGTTTCCGGAATTGAAACGGTCAAGCGTTTTTTGACACCAATTGACCCTGGATGGTTTCTGCTCTTCAGTCAACAGGTGGGCTATCCAACGACACACTCATTTTCTTACTCCTAATTCTTAATGCAAAATTCTTTAAATTGAGGTCTTTGAGATCTTCAAGGACGCCTCAATCTCGCGATATGTCACATGTCTATCTTCAATGATGAGTTTGCGCACAGCATCGATGTTTTCCTGGGTGACTGCCATTTTTGGTGCACCCACCCTGGGATCGTCGCTAAGACCCACCCGTCCACATTTGAATTCTTCATGCCAACGGGAAATTGTCGACTGGTGTGGCGCTTTGTTGACGAAAACAGACAGTGACTCAGCAAGGCATTCTTGTTGCGATAATTGTCTCTGAAAGTTGTAATAAATTATGGCGCGAAAATGTTCTCGGTTGAGCTCTAATGACTTGGTGACACTTAAAAATTCACTGGAGTGAGAACACTGCACGTATTGTTGTGAAACTTTGAACTTAAGTTTAATAAAGAGTGAGGTTAAGATTCAGTACTGACGTTCGATCCGCGCGGCCTATACTATGTTTCTATATGCAAAACTTAAGAGACATCCCTCGTATTGTCATTCGGTTGCCGAAAAGTTTAAAGTTCGTGTGTCATTTACTCATGTGTATCCGAGTTCGAACCGGTTTTCTTCTAGTCGCTAAAATAAATTTAACAAACCATATATGTTTGAAATAAAAAAAGGACCGCCATTTTCATTAAAAATATACAGTGTTCCACTTAAAAAATAAAACTTCGATAGCACTTTTCTGAGACACTCGGTATACAAAAAAATATTACATGAAGAAGTTCATATTATATCCTATTACTTTTATCTACAACCTTTTCTTTTAGACCGCCATAAAAAAAGTTAGACGAGTGATAAATGTATAGCCGTACATGTCATGTAATATCCTAAAAATGCAATATCTTATTTTCGAAATTTTTCCAGATTACAATGCATTATCGTCAGTGAAAAGCAAAAATATTAGACTGCAGCTGTTCAACATATGCTGTTAGACCTGCTAGATGTTTTTCAAAGCTTACCGGTGCATGTGGGTTGACGTAGCTTTGTACGTGAAGCACAGCACTCCACCAATATTTCTGGCAAGGAGCTAGAAGACTCTCGCAGAATTGCGTCCACTTGGGTCCAGATCCAAAGTGTTTCGTGACAGTAGCATACCCAGCAACAACTATGAATAGTGGTGGGGTTATCCTCACATACCTAAAAAAAATGTTGTTGCCCACAGACATACTGAAACCACATAGTCTAATCATATTAGCAAATTTCCCAGAAATAATTGTTTAGTCTGGTTTTATTGGTGCAAGTTGTTCAAGGAGGGATTCAAAACATGGACGCATAAAATGGGTACACCAATTTTTGTGGGAAAACTTTTTATTTGGCAACAAAGAATGAGACAACGTGTTTTTTGGGATTCAATCGAAACTGTTGACAGGAACGAAAAAACCTTTCGTATAAGATTTTTAGGTATTTATGAGACCTACAAAATGAGGTTACACGTAAAAAGATCCAACTAATACCAAAAATGTTATGGCTGAAAAACGAGGCTAAATGTAGGTGTTGGCACTTGTTGGTAATGCGACGCGCAACTACTTGAAATTCTTAAAATCCCAAAGATTCATACTTCTGAATAACAATAACAAAATTGGAGTATATTGGTCAAGCAGTTTTTTGAGAATTTCTAGTTGTTTATCCCAAAACACCTGTTTCCGGCCATCACTACTAGTTTATTGAGCAATATACAGGGTTCGCTTAAAAAGCATTTTATAGCAAAATACACGTGTTTACCTTGCCGATATGAAACACAAACCATTGCGAAAGATAAATATTACTTTTATGCGAAAAGCAAAGGTTACGATTTTTTCTTCTAAACAAATTCAATCATTTCGTATTTGTGAGTAATTGAACAAATGCGCTAGGATATTCAAAAAACGTACGTTACTATACACATTTTAAAACAAAGCGAATGTGTCATTATCTTCTGTTGCGAATTATTCACAATTACGAAATGTTTGAATTTGTTTAGAATAAAAAACAAAACCCATCCTTTTTTGCGTAGAAATAGCATTTATCTTCCGGAATGGTTTGCGATTCATATCGGCAAGGCAAAAACTAGTGTATTTTGCTATAAAATGCCCTTTGGAGTAACCCTGAATATTGCTCAATAAACTAGTAGTGATGCTCGGAAAACAGGTGTTTTGGGATGAACAATTTGAAATTCTCAAAAACTACTTCACCAATCGACTCCAGTTTGGTTGTGGTTATTTAGAATTACGAATCTTACGGATCTAAAGAATTTCAAATATCTACAAGAAACATCGTCGCATTACCAACATGTGCCAAAACCTGCAGTTTGCATCGGTTTTTGGCCATAGCTTTTTTGCTATTAGTCGGATCTTTTTACATGTGGTCTCATTTTCTAGGTCTCATGAATACCTAAAAATCTTATCCAAAGAGTTTTTTTGTTCCAACCAACGCTTTCGATTGAATCCCAAAAACACAAGTTTTCTGATTCTTTGTTGTAGAATAAAAAGTTTTCCTACAAAAGTTGGTGTATCCATTCCATGCGTAAATGTTTTGAATACCCAGTTGAACAACTTGCAGCAATTAAACCAGACTTAACAATTATTTTGCAAACCAAGGGTATTTTCGTCTAATATGATTAGACTAACAACTTAGATAACAATCAGCTATGACGTTCTCCTGTCAGTGTCAAAGATGGCCGCCATTTTGGCGGAGAAAATTGCAGGTAAATTCCCTCAGTACAACGATGAAAACGGTGTTTGCCATGCCAGCGGCAGTATTTAAACGATAATATTTCGATATGATCTAGTGTAGTTTGTGCGATTCAATGATAGAAAACTTTGTTAGGTACTCAAAATATCGGATCTACAGATCGCTTACATACTAAAAACTTGCCCTGTATGTAGAAGCGTCCTGGCTGGGGAGTCGCCAGAGGTATCAGGTTCGATTGTGCTGGTTGTCACTTTGCTGGTGGTTTGCTCTCAATTTTTTCCGCGACAAAAACACGGAAATTCTAGCGATGAATGTTCTGTTTGCCTGGTGTTTTTACCAGTGTTTACATTGAAGATTGAATGGATTGAGAATATTGCAGCAGCATTTTTCTGTTCAATGAAAATACTTCCACCAATACAAATTTATTTTAAAGCTTTTTCATAAATAAATAGTTATCAATAATTCCTAGCTTTTTGGACAAAACATACTGAATGCTAAAATCTCATTCATCGTTGTACTAGGGGAATTAACATGCGGCTTTATCTACAGAAATGGCGGCCGTTTTTGACATTGACAGGAGAATTCTATAGCGGATTGTTATCCAAGCTGTCCTGAAGGTCTTAGATTGTTCACCCTTCTGAAACAACCAATTGAACTCTCTTTCAATTTTCTTTTATCTGCCATTGCTTGTCGTAACGGTTTCTTAGGCCTTTGCTCTTGGTTGGAGACTTGCAGGTCAATAGACTTGTCAGATCTAGTTACCCAGATGCCAAATAAAATCAGAAAGTAAAAGAAGAGAAGAGGAAAAAGTTGCGTCACATATGTACACTCCGCATTTCCCAAGCAATAGTATCATTGGTTCATAACAGCCCATGTTAGCTTCTCTCAGAAAAAAGTTAACAACTACGAACATGCATAACAAAGGAATCAAATGAATCAAGTAAGTCAATTAGTCCCCAGTCTCCAAATATATGTCATAGCTTCTTATCATTTTCTCGTCTGTCCTACCGATAGTACTGATCACTGATCATCTGACATTGTCGCAAGTTCATACGTGAGAAGTAAACCTCGCCAGCTGTCAGCTCAAGTCAGGTTATTCTTCTATTTCTAAGCCTAAGGACAAATATACCGGAAAATTTATGAGTCAAATATATCTAATAGGTATGTAGTATTGCGGTTGGGAGCCTGTAAATATATACTCAGTGTCACAAAAGTTGAAACACCTACGTCTGTTAATTAGAATTCAAGAATTTTTTTCATATCGACTTATCTTGCCATGAACAACAAGTGATAAAATCATCAGGTTTTTCTGTTAAGTGTTTGTGGTGGCTGCGCACATTAGTGAACCAGCTTATGCAGTCAGTTGACAGATCAAGCCAAAAATTTTACTATATTATACATTATAGTAAGGAACACTGAACATATAAGCCAAAAATTATTAAAATTGGATAAACACACCCTTTTTTGTCACTCAGTATACTTAAGCCAATAATAAGGATCTTTTCTACTACCAATATTTCTCCTCCTCAAGAACTGCCCAGAGACATTATAAACGTTGGAAAGCGACATTTCAGTAACTATTTTTGGTATTTTATCCGTAGCTCATCCACCACTGGATATATATTCAACACCAACATAGCTATTTCGTTTCTGGCACAGTAATAATAACCTTGTGTCTGTGCTACTTTCCGAGGTACAGAGGGGCCAAGGATGAGCAGACAAACAGACATACCAACGGAAATGATTGACATGTTTTTCGTGATGTGCCTCTCATTAAACATCAAAAGAACGTAGATCTCATTTTCAAAATTTGACACGATTATACTTCTTCGCTGATTGGCGTGGGATGTCAGAAGAAAGGAAGGGGATGAGGAAAACGAAAGAATCCGACGGATGGAAGAGCGTGTTGGCATTGTTAATTAAGAATCAAAGCTGAAAATTAATTGAGAGGTTTGTTCGTCCTGGAAAAGCTTACCCTACTCAAAATTTTCCCTCCGTATTATGGAAAATCGGAGCAGTCATGGCAAGCGAAAAAGATTTTATTAGTCTTGACTGGTTTTTCTTCGTTGCACTTCCTACTCCATGCGCGAAGCTGTTTTTAGGAGGAGTGTCCAACAGATGACTCTTCTCTACCGGACAGCCTTGGGACCCTTTCGCACCGGTGGTTTGTCAGCGATCTAGCTCTCTTCTACCGCAACGCGCTTTGCTCCTCAGATCTGTCTGCCGCCGTATCGAACGTCGTACATCCAGAACTCGCCGATACAACCGCTCCTTTGTTCCTTCGGTATTGAGTTTGCGGAACAATCTGCATGAGGAGGCTTTTCCCAGTTCTACCAACCTTTGCAGTTAAAAAATTGGAATCAGAAGTTTTTCAAGCTCCTCATAGCGGTGTCCTGAGAATTATTCTTCTGCCTGCGCGGCTGCTGTGGTGTACAAAAAAACGTCGCTGCGCGAGGAAGTATTGTATTCGCAAAAAAATTCGAAAATGAGATATGTTTTTTAAATGTTATATGACATCACGAGAAACTATGTCACTCATTTCGGTTTGCCTGTCTGTTTGTCGGTCTTCATGTTGATCTGCTGGTTTGTTGTCTGTCTTGCTGTCGGTCTGTCTGTCTGCTAATCCTTGACCCCTCTATAACTTGGAAGGTACTGCTAGGATTACAATGAAATTTTTACGTATCATGATCATTTTTGAAAAAACGTTAGAGATGAAAAATAATGTGAGGATGGAGAAGGGTATATCTCAATTTTCATACTAGTATAACTATACGCCCCCAGCCCCAGTAATTCTACGCACCTATTAGCCATATTTCATACATCATAGGTTTCCCCATACAATTGTCGTTAAATCTGAGAATGTTTTAGATATGCGTCTCCTTCTGCTATATGGGCTCAGCGCCGGACGTAACGATCTACTTGATTGTTCTGCTCATACAGCGGCGTTCCTTCTTTGGGCGATGCCGCCTCTGACAATATGGGAAGGGGCATCGTTGCCAGACGGACGGTCACTACCGGTAAGGCAGATAAACATTGTCTATAGACTAATTGCATGGACCTGTTTGACTTGTGTTTCATGAAGAAGTGGACATAGCGGAATGGTAGGAAGAATGGGCTAAGGTATGTATTTATACCAGAAAAAAGTGTATAGCCTCATTTTTTATGGACAACAAAGCACGCAAAACTGCGTGTCGAATTTCTTTGGCGTTATTGAACTGATTTTGATGAAATCATCAGTAACCTTGGGGTAACCTAAACCTGATCGGGGGAATAAAAAACAGGGCCTGAATTCTTTTTATATGTGGTATGTCAACAAAGTCGACACCTTTTTAGCCATTGTCCATTTCTCCTCACCTGTATATGTACATAAGGAGTATGTTGATATTTCCTCGTTTCTCCACGTGTTGGAAAAAGTTGTAGCTTACTAAAAGCGATGAAAGTAAGAAGAAGGTATCCACGCTAACGGTACCGCCTATGACCTGTGTGCTGAAATACTCCTGAATCCACTGAAATGAATGAAAATATTTAAATGATGAAAGATTGTATCTTTGAAGCTGCTTCTAAGCTAAATTGGTTCTTAGTCACGTTCTATCAAGTTCTATTATCTTAGTAGTGCAGTGAGCAGAGGTTGAAAATGTATTATTAGTCCCAAATTACATTTCAGTCATACGAGAGATCCGTGTCTATAAGAGGGGTTCACAAATAGCTTACAATTTTTCTTACCTTAGATCATATGCAGATCATATGTATTCTTCTTTTAATTTTAGTACTTGATTGCTTTTTAAATGCCAAAAGTTCATAATTTTTCAAGGATATTTCACTATGTACTTTGATACGAGCGCATGGTCGTAATACTTTCTACTAAAAATCCATAATAAAACACACCTACATACAAAACGTATACATATTACCGGCCACCTGTATAATCCGGTACTCTATACAATACCTAGGTAACTGCAAGGCAGCTCCATAACAAAACTGGAGAAGTGTGAATGGCCATGCCTTCCCACGCTGAAGGTTAAAATCCCATAAGAAAATGGACGGGGTAGCACCCAAACCAAAACAACTAAACGTAAGGTACCAAATTTAAAGGGTACTACTCCATAACCTGGTGTTTGGGTGTAAAATATCCCAAAATCTGGAAGTTGACGAAACGACGTACACACCACAATCTCTGCAGGAAAGTAAAAAGAAATATTGATTTTAATGAAGTTGATTTTAAATATTATAACTTGTTTGATTTGCCCGTCAGTTCCTAGGTATGCCGGTTAACATTGATACATTTAAACGAAGATTCATTTTACACATTGCCGGTCGAACAGCAGGTACTACAATCCCTGGGAGTAGTATTCATTACCTAGGTAACGTATGTAATGGATAATGATATTCATCATTTCATACATTGAATGAGCAACCCCGGTATTCTATACATTGCCTAGATATTGTATAAAATACCCGAATTATACATATTACCGGTAATATACGTTACATACTAGTACAAGAATAAGTCTTGCTCGACTGCGCTTTGATCAAAAACCAAAACTGAAGCCTCATTACACCTTTGTATAGATTTTCATTGTGAGCGGAGTGGAGAAGTACAATCATTTTTACTTATGTTTTGTATCTTAGTGTGCTTTATTACAGATTTGAAGTAGAAAGATTGAGACCATACACCCATATTAAAATACAAAGTGAAATATACCAAAATATGTGAATTTTGAAGGACAACCGCATACGATGAAGATGTCAGGGAAACCCTCATTTGCTATGTACATAGATGAGTGGTCGAAATACTAAGTATCACAGAGCAAGCCAGAAATTGATTTCGATGCATATATGCATAATTTATGGCAGACTGCTGAAATGGATATATCTGCTGTAGGTCTATGCAACCATTACCAACCGCAAAACAGCGCTGCTTCGTACTCATCAGTACGGTACAGGGCTTAAGTTTGGTCTTGGAGATAGAGAAACGGGAACCATATAAGCGAATATAATAATAATAATAATAATAATAATAATTAACGTCTTTTATTTGTAATATTCTTACAGGAGGCGAGATTTAGATTATATATCTATTCTACCATCTAACCCCCTTAACAATTCGAGATGTAAAAAAAAAAAAAAAGAAGAATTTATTGAAAATTAATAGGCACCTGTATACAATAACGAATAATCCAAGTAAATACATAAGGAAAATATGAGGACACTTATGGGTTACAACCGATTTCGCTGCTGATCAAGAAGAACTTCTTTCACTTTTTTCTTGAATTTGGATAATGGATTGGTTTCTTTTAAACTGCGGTCTAAAGAATTATATGATTTGATTGCATTGTAAATGTATGAATTCTGAAATAGAGACGTGCTGTGACGTGGAATTGAAAAAGTCTCTCTATATCTAATATTAATACGATGCATATTCCCTCTACGTATGAATTTGTTTACTAAATATGACGGTGTTTTTGAATAAAGAACCTTATGAGTCAGATTTAGGAGCTGGTACTTATACATTTTATCAATTTTCATCCATTTGAGTTCATTAATGGCATTCGATATATGATCGTATTTTCTGAGATCATTTACAAGCCTGCAACATGTATTCATAATACTTTGAATACGATTTCTTGTTATAATATCTAAATAGGGATAGTAAACCACTAAGCAATACGATATCTTTGAAAATACGAAATATTCACACAATTGCTTTCTCGCAGATTTATGTAATATAGCCTTATTTGCAAATAAAACTCTGAGAATAGCGTAGCACTGCGTAATTAGATAGTTCACGTGTGCAACAAATTTTAAGTCATCATCCATTATAATACCTAGGTTTTTCGAATGATCCACAGGAATTAATTTATTACCTTTTAAATGTATCTCTATGTTCTTTTTTAAGGTATTCTTTTTTGTTCTATTTGCGTATACCAACATATTTGTCTTCAAAGGGTTCAAACGAAGATTATGACTACTACTGAACTTTTCAATTTGGGCAAGATCTTGATTAATTTTATTATTTGCGGTTTCTAAGTCATTACTCCTAAATGAATAGAAAATTTGAGTATAATCTGCAAAAAATTGTATGCTGCATGATTTTACCTCTGTTTCTAAATCTGAGATATATAATGAAAATAATAGCGGTCCTAAGACTGATCCCTGTGGTACACCAGAACAAATTTTTTGTTCCGTAGAGTACTGTTGATTTAGACGAACTTTTTGATACCGATTTTCAAGGTAGGTTTGAATAAACGAAAGAGGTTTTTCAGAAAATCCATAGTAACTGCATTTAGATACAAGAAGCGAGTGATTAATGGTGTCAATGCTTTAGTAAAGTCAATAAGTATGAGAGCTACTGCTTTTTGGTTATCAAGTGCCATTGTTATATTGTCTGTTAAATCACAGAGTGCCGAAGCTGTATTATGACCTTGTCGAAATCCAGATTGTTTAGATGGAATAATTTTGTTAGAATATAAGTAGGCGCACAGCTGCTCGTAAACAACGCGTTCCAATACTTTAGAGAAAATTGGCAGTAGACTGATCGGTCTCAGTTGACCATAGTTAGTAGGATCAGAACACTTAGGTAGCGGAATAACTATAGCGCATTTCCACTGATTGAGGAAATATCCCCTCTCTAAACAGCAGTTTATAATATGCGTTAAGTAGACATCAATTTCAGGTATACATAGTAGTATCATATGCAAAGTTATTTCATCTGTACCACTAGAATTTGATTTTATTTTATGTATAATTTTAACAACGGTGTCAATAGTCACTTTATTAAATTGAAATTTGAATTCTGAGTTATTTTTATTAGCTCGGTAATATGCAATTTTATCAGCACAAGTCAAATCACTATTCTCAAAAATTGAAATGAATGCCTCATTTATTTTATACGGATCGGACAAGCTCACGGGAATTGCAGAATCTTTCTGAGATTGTACTTTGAAAGTCTTTAGGGTCTTATAAAACTTTTTTATATCCTGATTTTGAACAGCTTGTAAATAATCTCTTTTTCCTCTTCGCACGAGCGTTAATGCATCATTTCTGAAATATGTATACTGTTGCCAAGAGGTGGCTGTACGATCACGTTTGAACTTTGACAAAGCTTCAGCCCTCTGCCTGAATACAAGTTTAATATTATCATCCAACCAAGGAGCTGGAGCTTTGTTTACACGCACTACCTTTTTTGGACAGTGAACATTAAATAAGCATAAAATACTATCTGCTAAAAAGTTAATTTTATCTTCAATGTCATCTATCGATATAATATGCCACCATGGAAAACTCTTGAGATCTTGTTCAAACGCTATTTCATTTAAACTATGGAAATCCCTGAATGTAACAAATTTCTGTTGATTTTTAGGAAGTGCAATACGTATATCACAGAAGGTTAAATAGTGATCAGTAATCATATCAGCATTAATAGTGCCACTCCTAAGACAACTTTCAGGCTTGCTCAAATAAATAGGATCTAAGAGAGTGAGTGTCGATTCAGTTATTCTAGTCGGTTCAGATATCACCTGTTTCAGATTATAAGAATCAAGGCATTTAGTCAAGTTGTTACAAACTAAAAGCAAATTAACATTGATATCTCCTGCAAGGATGATATCATCATATTCAGCTAATATGGCAGGCAACATGTTATCAAAGGTATTACCGGCTTCTGTAACAGAGCTATGTGGGGGCCGATAGAATATACCAATAGCAATTTTGTGTTTTGGAAGCTGCACCTTCAACCATATATATTCAAGACTTGGGTCTTGCCCAAATGAAATTATGGAAGAGTTGTAGTGGTTGTTTACAAAGACTGCAACCCCACCACCTCGCCCATCTCTATCACAGCGATAGCAGTTGTATCCATTCATTCTTATATGGTCATTAGATATATCTTTTGATAGCCACGTTTCCGATATTCCAACAATATCAAGGTTGTTGTTTTGAACCAGTGTACTAAATTCATGAAATCCTGATAAAACTGATCTGCAGTTTATATGACCAAATTTTAAAACCTTGAATTTATCACTATTCATATTCAATTCTAGATTTCAAGTATGTAACATATTTTTTATAAGTTGGACAATCCAAGTCTTTAGAAGAATGACTAGTATCAAATTGAGTGTTGAATTTAGAATTGTGATTCATACAGTTTGAACAATTCTTCCAAATGATCTCCAGCACATAAAGGACATGATACTTTAGAATGTATGCAATTTTTTTCCATGTGGCCAAAACCTGAACATTTATAGCAGCGTATAATTCGTACATAATCCCGCACAGGACATCTTTGCCAACCCATGTATATATGACCTCTATCTAGCAACGTTTTTCTAAATTTTGGGCTAACCTCAATGACAACATTTAAAGTAGATTCGGAACATCTGAAAGTGGTTACAGTTTTTATATCATCACTACTGAAAATACCAAATTCATTCTGGGACAGGATCTTCTCGATTAATCCCTCAGATTTTGTGTAGGCGCATTCTACATTATTTATCACCATGCGTGGGCGATATT